TTTTTCGTCAATAGATTTGAGGTGAAACTGAATTTGAACATAACATTTGTACCCAAAGTGAAAACCGAACAAACTGACCCGAACAGAACCGAACCGAACCGGCTTGAATCGATTCGGTTCGGTTTTGAATGATAGGCGGTTCGGTTCAGTTTGGCCAAATTTGATAAAAAATCGAACCGACAGACCAATTGCACAGCCCTGCTTTTAATTTTCAAAGGTTTTTTTTGTCTGAATTTGGTAGATTTATTAAAATGTTCGTAATTATCAAAGGACCACTTTGATATCCTTAATCATATCAATATTCTCAATATTTTTAATGACATTTTTCCATTTAATATGCAATATTTTATTATAATTTTTTAAAATTGATTATGACATGTTTTTTAGTTCGAGTGATGATTTAATTTTTCAATATGATGTTTTTTTATAACCAATATAATGTTATTAAGAAAAGTAGTTTTTCATATTTTATTTTAAAGTAATTATATTTAATTATTTTAAAGCTAAGTATTTAGATATACATTTTTCCATAATATTTACATTGTGATTATTAATATTATTTTCATGGAAAATAACTTTATTTATATTTATCTCTTATAATATATAATGTAATAGATATTTACTAATTGATATCTAATCATGAGCTTATGTCAATAATTTAGAAAGTTCTAGGGGGTGTGTTCTAGGGGGTGTGTGTGTGTGGGGTGGGGGGGGGGAAGAAAAATTATAAAATTAAAATTCTATCCTTCTAAATACTATAAAAATAGATTAAATGCCCACAGTGTTAGATCTGAATCATAACTTGAGATCTAAAAAACCATATAGTCATGATTAATTCGAAGAGATTAACAATAATCAAAAGAGTGCGGAAGATTATACCTGAATCCATAGAAGAAATCTTGATTTGGGTTTCAATGATCTTCTAACCTTAGGGTTTCTCTAAATCCGAATTTCTCTCTCTAGATGGGGGTGAAGAGAATTAAAGAGTGTAACCCTAGGTTAGACCCCTTATTTATAGATGTTGTACTTTTGTAATTTAGCCCCTCAATAAATTACAATTACAACCTGGTATCTGCACATATAACCCCATGACTTATTTAAATACCAAATTAACCCAACTTAATTGATCACTTTAGTGGGTTATCCTGAAAGATAGCAATACACATTGATTAATCATATGTGCCCACAAATAGATTTATTAGATTAAATCCAACAATCTCCCACTTGGGCACCATATGATTCCTTAAACTGTGTATAACCTTATGAGCTCAAAAATTGCTATCACTGAAATGGTATTTCCGAACAATCTCGTCCATTGACTATATCAATATAGGATCAAAGCGGCCTTCGTCACATTTATCGTGACTCGACCCATCAATGGTCACATATACCAATACAATCAAACGACATAGATCAATCATGGATGTGCAGCATGAAAATTACATGCAATGTGATCAGTACATGTCTATTTTCAACTGGTCCTCCTTAGTGAGGTTAAAACCAAACATAATGTAATAGAGTGTCTTAACTGAATACTTTATTCTGATCAGGCAATACAACCAAACATAAAGCACCACAATTACAAACTCCCACTAAAACATAATATCCTCAAATAATACCACACCCATATGAGCAGTATGCTCATGAAAGACCTTAGGTGGCAGTCCCTTAGTAAGAGGATCAGCTATCATAGGGTTTGTCCTAATGTGCTCTATAGATATTTGTCCACTCTGCATTCTTTCTTTCACAACCAGGAACTTAATGTCAATATGTTTTGACTTAGTTGAGCTCCTGTTGTTATTGGAATACATTACTGCAGATTTATTATCATAATATAACTTTAGTGGTCTTTCAACATTTTTCAAAATGCGCACTCCCGTGACAAAATTTCGCAGCCATATTCCCTGATTGGATGCCTCATAGCAAGCTACAAATTCTGCTGCCATAGTGGAGGAAGCTACTAGTGTCTGTTTGACACTTTTCCATGATATAGCTCCTCCTGCTAACATATAAATGTAGCCTGATGTAGACTTCCTGCTATCTTGGCATCCAGCAAAATCAGAGTCCGAATACCCAATGACCTCTAATTTCTCTGATTTTCTGTATGTGAGCATGTAATCTTT